GTGAGTCCATCTGAGTCTAAAAATCAACTCCAAAAATCATTTATAAAGGGAGAGGGAAAGCTAGTCTTCCCAGCGAGATCTCAGGGAATGGCTATAGAAGGATACAGTAAGCATTGATCATCTCCACAAAGACCATCTTCTACATCTTACTTTGGCGAGTAGCGACTGTCGTAGAAGTCACGTCCCTTACAAGTATTGGTCTCTGACCACTTAGAACAGAGGGAAGAAAATCCGAGACACAAGGAAACAAGCAGCCAAAGGAGAAAAGACCACGCAGACTCCAGGCTCCATGACCAGAACGATGAGGCGGTGCCGGCCGATCACTGACAACCGCTCCACTGCGAAAGGGACCGTAATGAGAGGTCCTGGCTAGAGCCAGACAAGAATGTAAAACACAGAACTCAAAATCTCAAAAGGACCAGGCTTACTAGTCTCATAGAGACCTGTGGGACTCCTGAGCCTTAGACAACCTTTAAGGCTGGATCTAAACTCATCCCCGAGGCTCAGTGTTCAGCCAGACAATAGACTGGTTTACAAAGTGCACAATAAAACCGGGGAGGTAAGCGTTCTGGATCGACAAACCATTCAAGCTCAAAGGGCAGCACCTGCCCAGGGATAAAGCTCAGCAGGCAGGAAAGGAAAGGAGGCCGAATGGAATTGTAGGGACTGTAATCGAGTGTCACAAAACAAAATGTGTATGAATTATTGAGTGAAAAACCAATTTACTCTGTAAACTTTCACCCAAATCACAATAGAAAGCTTTGTTGTTGTTTTTTTTAGTTTTTTTTTTTTTTTAAAAAGATTGTTTTGCCTGTATTAAAGCAATAACCAATACATGCAAATTTTATCAACGGATATTAAAGCCATCAGGAACAGGATTTATCAAGGGGGAGAAAGACCTTTGTCATGGGGGAACCTGAGGCACCACCACCTGAACCAAGTGGCTGTCCCCATTCATAGGACATCAGGTGCCTTGTGATATGATGCACTAAGAGGCTACCACATCCCCCAGGTAATGTTTCCTGACAACCATGCTTCACCTAGAGCCAATCACGGGCAATGACTAGGGAAATTACATTAAAAAATCTGCAGAATTTCTGACCTCCACATCTCACAAGATGTCACTGCCCCAAAGAGACCAAGAGGCTTAGGAGAAGTGGTCTAGATTAAAGAGAGACCAAAAGAGGCTAAAGAGGCCCCAGATTAAATGGCTCTGAAATACACTATGTTGATAGTGAAGGGCAATATGGGCAGCGGCTATCGATGCTACAGTTGTTCCACCCTTGTCCTTGGGAGATAGACTGATGTCCTCAGGAGAGAAGACTCAATAAATGGTTCAGAAAAATGCAATTATCTGTGGAAACAGCGAAAAATACTGTAAAGGTGATCAAAAACAATCTCTCTTGTCATTGTCCTTTAAACTCTTTTTGAAGGTTTGACGATTTTTCAAAATAGTAAGTTGGAAAAAAATTTTTAATAGAAAATGTGTATGACCAAAACAAGGCATAAAGAACTGCTTTATCTTCTCTGTAAAACAAATTAATATGTGCCCTTTATGACCTATGAAGAAAGTAAAAGTGTATTGCCATGGAGTCGACTCCAACTCACAGAAAGCCCATGGAACACGGCAAAACTATCCCTAGGGGTTTCCAAGGCTGTAAATCTTATGGACACAGCCAGCCTCATCTTTCTCCCATAGAGCAGCTGGTGGATTTGAATCACTAACCTTGTGGTTAGAAACCCAACAGTTAACCCACTATGACATTAAGGCTAAGGAAAGTCAAGCGGTTATTAAAGTGGTTGAGCACGGAATTGCTAGTCAATGTTACCCTAAATCTCAGGTCTGTGCCCTGGAGCAATGGGGCCTAATTAGCAGCCACTCACGGTGGACTGGAAAAAGAAAACAAGTCTTTCATTTTAGAAAGCGAGCTAGTAGAGCATCCAAAGGAATCAAACTGTTTAATGGGTGTTTGACTCAAGCCAGTTTCCAAGTAGTATTTATACCAATTTCCCTAGCAATATTGAGAGAAGGGTTTTAAGAGGATTTCTGAAAATAAGTTTTTAAAACCAAATATTATCAAGAAGATGAGGAAGATACTATGTTTAATCCCTTTACTCATTATGCCCTAACTTTTTCCATGTGTACGTTCTCCCAGAATATATAGGCTGAGTGATTTAGTGCTGTATTATGATATCATTAACTCAAACTTAGAATCAAGGACCCAGCCTTGAAGGAAACCAGAAGGTTATGAGCTCATGCATTGAAGAATGTACCCTTAGACAAATGTTTCCTTGGAGAACATTAATATTGTCTGAAGGGACAGGGGGGCAGCCACGTCCCAGGGTGTAAATCCTGTGGCTCACTGAAATGTAGATTGTAGAACTCTGAGAAAAAGAATGTAACAATACCGATGTACTGATACCCAGAGGGGTATAAAGCCCCACCCGGGATGGAGGAAAGCAAGGCAGTGTTTGAGAGCGATCTCACTGTCTTGAAGATCCATCAATCAACATAAGCTGATCCTCACCCCTGTGCCCATCAGCTGCAGCAGCTAGTGGCCGGACCTTTCAGTCGGTTTCAATATTAGTCACATAGCAGTCCGCACAAAGACACAGAGCGTACGTAAGAACCCTGCAATTTAGCATCTTGACTCCTACTTTCCAGATGACCTGTCTCATCAACGTCCAGGAAAGTTGGAGGTTAATCCAACTCAAAGTATCATGCAAGTAGTAATTAACATTCCAAGCTCTTGTTTGAATCCTTGGAAACAGTCCAAATAGAGAATCATAAATTTATATCAAAATTGTTTATATGCAGGCATGGCTGGCTCTAATCAAAATGGCTATAGTCTCGCTCAGAAGTCTTGCCCAGAACTCACAAACGACCCTCCCCTTTGGGACTTTACGCCTCTGCTATGATGGCTAAGACTCACTAATTCACCGTCGGTTACTGCACTTAGCCCCGAAAGCATGGGATCTCTGTCACCTGACAAGAGCAGCCTTTGAACTACTGATTGGGAATAGTGAAACTCAAGCACGTTCAGAAGCACATTGGACACAACAACATGCAAAATGCTTTTTTTTAATGATTAATAATAACAAATAAAATTCCTAAGTAATAAATTGGGGGGC